TTAAAAAAAAAAAAAAAAAAAAGGAAAGAATGTAGGGGAAAGGCTTCTGGACACTTTAGCAATGATTTCTTGGGTATGGCATAAGGCATAGGCAACAAAGAAAAAAACAGAAAAACGGGGTTACTAGCAACAAAAGACTATTAAGAGAGTGAAAAGAATGCACAAAATGGGAAAAAATATTTGCAAATCATATATCTGAAAGGGGTTAATATCCAGAATACAGAGCGAACTCCTAAATCAAACAACAAAACCTCCCCAAACAACCCAATTCAAAAATGGGAAAAAGACTTGAATAGACATTTCATGTAAGAAGATATTCAAATGATCAAAAGGCACACAAAAAGATGCTCAACATCATTAGTTGTTAGAGAAATGCAAGTCAAAACCACAATGAGATACCACTTCATATCCATTAGGATGGCTACTATATTAAAAAACAAGAAATAACAAATACTGGCGAAGATATGGAGATACTGGAACACTCGTGCACTTTTGGTGGGAATGTAAAGTGGTGCAGGAAAACAGGCTAGTGGTTCCCCCATAAGTTAAACATAGAGTAACACTATGACCCACTATGACTCAGTGCTAAAGGAAGGAAATTCTAATACATGTTACAACATGGATGAACCTTCAAAACATGCTAAGTGAAATTAGCTAGACACAAAGGGAAAAATAACTTTGATTCCACTTACATGAGGTAACCAGAGTAGTCAAATTCACAGAGACAAAAAGTAGAGTAGTGATAAAGAGGCACTAGGGTTAAGGGGCAATGGAGAGTTAGTGTTTAGTGGGTACAGAGCTTATGTTTGGGATGAGTAAGTTCCTGAAATGAACCGTAGTGATGGTTGCACAACACTGTAAACTTAACGTGACTCAATTATACACTTAAAATTGGTTAAAATAACAAGTTTTATGTTTTGTATATTTTACATTAAAAAGGGGGATTGGGGATAGCTTCATTTTCAGAGTAAAAGTGTATGAAAACATACTTGCGTAAGGTATTGTTGTTCTGGACTCTCTTCACCTCATCTTCCAGCTGCTGGATCCGTCTCAGGACATACATGTGTTGCTGTAGCAGAACTCCCAGCCAGAGCTCATCCCAGAGAACAGTAACCCTGCGCAGCTCAGCCACAAGCATCTGAACCTGCACACATAGTACATCCAAATATGCTCGTAGTCTACAAATTCACACACAGCAGTTTTGCAAACACTAGAAACTACAAGTTCCGTGTGTGCATTTTTTGTTCATTATTCAATCAGAGAACCTTGATTACTAATTCTGTAAACACAGATTTATAAAACCAATACTGAATTGTAAAGCCAATTTCGATTATTCCAAAAGCCTTTTTGTTCTTCAAATATCATTTCCAAGACAGTTTTTATGGGTTTTGTTTTTAGGTTGTTTTTTGGGGGAGAGGGGTATATAATAAAAATTGTTTAAAAACATACGAATTGTGTTTTGTACCTGTAACACCATAGTTGGGTTTGCAGAGGACAGCTTATCTACAATTTTGCTGTAGCAATCCTGCATCATGGCTTGGTCTTCATTTAATCCACTTTTAGGCTCATCCTTATTGCTATCCTGAGAAGCAGGAGGGCTTCCTCCCTCACATTCAGAAACCAGCAACTCTTCTCCTTGAATATTGCCAAGCAAAGTTGGAATTGCAGAGGAAAACTTATTTCCTATAAGAAAATGGAAGAATTAGGGTACACTTTGGATTTTCTCCTCTGCGCATATGTCGAGTTAAGGAAAACATTGGTAATCTATCTGACTCCAGCCCTCACTTAACTAATTTGCCTTCCATGCATTAAATTAACCAAAGATCATGGACATTCTGCCTTTTCACAAGGTAAGCTTTTATATTTATTAATATTATAAGCAAATGGAAGATAAATGAAAAAAATGAGTCTCAACAGAGTTTTCTCGCAGCCAGAGTCTAGAGCTTGGTTTCATCCTTATCTACTATTTACTCAGGTCATCGGTGAACCTGAGAGCACGGACTCAATTTCTCTAAGCCTAAATGGGTTACTGTGAGACTGAGGAGCATGTGTAAAATACATCCCCTCGTGCTGGACATAGCAGTTACTACCTCAATAAACAATAATTATTATTACTGAAAAAACCACAAACTCCATTAACTCTGTTAACAGCTGAAAAAAATTTACCTAACAGACATTATCTGCAAAATAATTTATACTTAAAGTAGCGGTATTTTAATATTCCATACCTGAAGCCTGCGATTCAGTACTAAGTGATATGGTACCCACTATTGCAGGGTACAATATGAGATGCGGGGAATCTTGAGCCACTCGGCAGAGAAGGTTACAAATACTTTGGCGCACATATACTTCAGGATGGTTTAAGCGTGAGAAAAGCTGTGGGATAATTCCTTCAGGATAAGAAGAAAGAAGGATACTTTAAAGTTATTAAAAACTGTCAACATAGTAGATGCAAAAGCATAAAACCTCATGTGTGTCAGAATCAGTTTTAAGGGCCTCAAATTTCTCCCTGTGTTAACAAAGAACCTAACAATAGTTCTTGTTTTCCAAGTTTGGTTAGATCTATAACCAAAATGCAGAGCAATTCAACAATGTTCTGGCAAAATGTATTTTCTATGAATGCCTGTAAAAGACAGACAGAGATAATTTTTAACAAAGGGCATACAAAAATTTTTGAAACTTATTTTCACCACTGTCTCCAAAATTCATTTTGTATCCATAAAGGTCCTGCCTGTCACCCTTCTAGTTCTCTGAAAGGTGAGAGAGAAGAGTATGTCACATGCAGTTCATGGTGTCCTATTAACTAATGTAGGTATTCTGTAACACATTAAAATAATAAACATAAACTACTATGCATGTTTATTTATAGTCTTATATATCCTACCCAGAAATAAGTTTTCCTGAAACATTTTATTTAGACCATTACCTCTCCATGGAGCAGTAGGTGTTGTCTCCAAGCCGTGTTCCAGATACTGCCTAAGCTCGCCAGCATGTTTGACGAGCAGTCTGAGCAAGCGCAGTGTGGCCATCACAATCACATCATCAGTACTCTGCTCTGCTCTGTGACTCAAATGTAGCCTAGGGTCATCTTCATCTAAAGGAATCTAAGGGGGAAAGGTGAAAGGCAGAAATAAGAATACCGTTTTCGTCCGCTAGGAAAGAAATGTCAAGTACATTTTCTTAGAACTGAACACCGTGCTACCCACCTGACCAGCATTGAGTTTAAGGAAAGTAAAATATGCGCTGCAAGACAGCTTGTACAGGCTGAAGATTCTATCTACAACCTTTCTCCACACTTTAATAACTCCTTCTGTTGCACTTTCATCAAGTTCTGAAAGCCACGGGCAACTTGAGATTAACTGACGCCAGATAACATCAACCATGTCATCTTCCTCATTATCTTCACTTTCTGTTATCTGAAGCGTTATATCTTCATCCTGAAGAAAATTGGGGCATAAAATGCTATTTTTTTAACACAAACAGAAAAGGGGGGGTACATGATTTTCCTTTCCTATGAAAGCATCTTTCTCATTTATGAAAAACTACTTCACGTTTAGTTTCATACATGCTAAATCAAATTCATTATGCTCCTCTATGATGTATTTACTGATGTAGCTAATGAAGGATGTAAGATCTTTTTTTTTGGTACTTTAAATGCTTCTAAGTTACAGTAAATATTCTGCTTGCAGAACATTAAATGTAATCTGTTCAAGTTTGAGGCTTGAATGTATACAGAATTCACTCACAACAGACTTTCCTCTCTTTAAAGTAATGGGCACATACATAACGCCAGCTCTGGCAGACATGACACATGCTGGTCTAGAGCAAGATGAGTCAGTACAGTTTAGCCTATGAAATAAAATCCAAACTTTTAAAGTCTATCTAAAAACTCAATAGCTCTAACATTCTAGAATTAATAGAACTCTGAGCTGAGAGAGAATAAATCCTACAGCTCATTTAGTCTACTAGTTTTCAACTCTGGCTATGAATTAGAAATCACCGAGTAAGCTTAAATACATACACCCGCTTCCCACTCAGAGTATCTGGGGTGGTTTTCAGGCACTGGTGTACTTTGAAAGGCCACAAGCTAGTGTTAAAGAACCTAATTTCTGATCAAAACAACAATTAAAAGAGAAATTTAATTCACATAAAACAAACTTCACCTATTGTAACAGGACCTTAAGGAAATGATTTCTCAAGATTACATTCTCCTTAGAGAAGTATCATAACTCACTTTCATCTTAAAACTCCAAAGTTTTCATTTGTAACAGTAACTGCCTAAACCCCATTCAAATTTTAATCAAGTATACATGGATCAACCTCTTCAAAATCAATGAATTAAAACAGTGATCTTGACACCATTTCTCCCAAAGACCATATGATGTTTCCCTTGCCTGAATCCCCGCTGGGCGACACACAGCCTGTCCAAGAATACCATATATTCTCTCTTTTTCTTCTTCAGTTATAGTGTCTGGAAGCAGATTCTGAACTTCAGATTTTTCTCTAGGCAGCAGACGAACACCTTCTCCCTGACTATAAAAATAAACAAGTCACTGGTTCCAGCTACCAAAACTTGTCAGCAGACATTTCAAATCTCTATCCTGTAATGCAGTAAATAAATTACACATTTCAGCATACATACCTGGCATTATCAACCACCTTTCTGCCCCACCTATAAGCCCAACTAGCCAATGCTGCCCAGGATTTGGCTACTTCAGGTGCCTGTACTGAAGATAGGTGATACAACTGTCCCAAAATGAAGTCAGGTTCTCCAACTCCAATATGCACTGCCATAATGGACAAAAATATATATATATATATGAAAGGACTCAGCAATATTACATTCATAAATTTCAAATGGCATTCCTACCAACATTTTAGGGATTTATTTTCTGTAAGCTATTACTAAGTTCCAGAATACTACAGTAAAATTTGATCAAAGAACACATTTTTACTATGCTTTTGAAATCAACTGAAATTGATCGAAATCAATCACTCAGCTTCACAAGTCAGCTTAAATTATCACCCTATAAACCGCATAAATCTCTCTCATGACAACACAGGTGTCACGTGTGTTGTACAATGTCTTGAATTCTAGATATGACTGGCTCTTTCCTCACGATTAGGCTAAGCTTGAATATTCTGGCAAAAATAATATATAGGTGATCAGTATACAATCTCATTCAGTCAAAAAATTCATGAGGTAAATATCTTTATTCACACCTGCTATAATGCCATTTGCCAAGATTTATAATAATCACAGGACACATCCCTTATGAATATCAAGACTGTAAATTACATAGATTATAATTATTTTATAAGACCAACCTAAATAATTAAAATCCTCGGCTTCATTACAACAAAAATGAAAGTATATTCTCATCAGCAAAGAGGTTAACTATCTCCCACTCTGTAAAACCTGGACAGAACAACACTGAATGAACTACCCTATTTGTCAAGTACCTTTCTATTACTAGCACTAGTGTCAGAATGTGAAATTTTCATCTCCTAGAGTTTCTGTGCTCTAGGAGCCAAGGAGACCACAGGCAACTATCGTGTATCTTTCTTGCTCCTTCCAGTGTGAGGTGGAATTTAGGTATCTGGAGCAGGACCTTCTTGCCGGCAAAAACATCCAAGTCCATAAAAGCACTGTGGCTTGGGAAGGCCAGAAGTCAGCAGAGTTAGGTGACTTCCACAGTGGCATTAAATACTAAAGAAATGTGTTTTAGTTACTTCCCGATGGTTTAGTATACTAAATTTCCATGCAAACAATTTTTGCGGCAAGTTACAGCCAGCTTAACATTGTAAACTTTAAAACCAGTGGAGAAATAACTTCTAAAATTGGTATTTTAAAGCTAGTAAAATAAAGAAAGCCTACCTGTAGATTCGCTCTCAATCCGAGGATACTCTTCTTCCATTGTATTAACAGATGGCAGTTCTATTAAAGCAAGTATGTTTTTAGACAGAGTAGAAAGACCTGTGAAGTTCTGCTGTTGCTGAGCTCTGTAAACCTGTTTCAGCTGCCCTGAAATTTCTTTCCATTCTGCCTGGATCCATTTAGCCAGTGTCAGAATTGACTTGGCAACTGCATATTCAGCTTTGGCAGACTTGCAGAAAGATATGGCACAAGAACTTAACATTTCCATTGCATGTGTTGACTGGCCTATAGAAAACCAAAAACCAGCCCTTAGAAGCCTTATATGCAAGTGATTAACAGTATTTCAGGGTAAAGTAACAATGTAAATTCGGTGGTAATCAATGATCTCTAGATACATTTCTTACTTTGACACACTATAACAAAATTACCGCTCTAAAAGCACCAAATTACAAAGGTAAGTCAATTACAGGTAATTTATTGTCAAGATGCAAATACTCTGTCACAGCTGAAAAAAAGTCAGCTTTTCTAATATTGCCTTACAGCATACACATTTTCATACACGATTTTCATTTCAGTCAGACATTAACCACAGTTCATTTTACTAACCTGCTGTATATAGCAATTTGGTTTTTTCAATGTCAAGTTCAGGTCCCCATTTTTCATCCACTTGACCTTGAGTTGATAGTTTTTTAAAATGCTGGACTAAATCCTGTGCAGTAGTAGTCTTTCCCAGCTGAACCTCACTACACTGTGCCAGCAGTCTTGTTGCAAGTGAAACATTCCCTCGTTTTCTAGCAAATTTTGCTGCTGTTAGACCTAATTCCATGAGATGGCTTCTAATTGGAACTGTTTGTTCTGGAGAAAAGAAAACATTTCATTAGTCCTTGATTGGTCTAACCCAGACTGCAGAGACACATGGCCAAAAATTCTTCCCCAGCCATTTTCCCTTCCCTACCAACTCCCTAAATAAAGGTAACTCATTTTTCATTATCTTTAAATCCCTAGCAGCTAGCACAGTACTTGGCATACAATAAACAGTACATGTTTGTTAAAAAATAAGTGTAAGCGAACGATGAAGCAAAGTAAAAATCATTCACTACAAGAAATTAGCTTTTCAGTTTCTAGATCTTTTTAGTAAAGAGGCTAGGCCAAAGGGTGGGGAAAGAGAATAAGGCCAGACCATCTCTCTCTTGTTGTGTTAAGCACCCTCTGCCCTTCTATCATGCCATTCTCTCTTGGTTCACTCCTACCTTTCTGAAGAATCCTCAGTCTCCTTCTCATCCACTACCTATCCATTAAAACTGGTGTTCCTCAGGGTCAGTCCTAGGCTCTCTACTCTTCTTACTCTGCATATTCTCCCTGGACAATATCATCTGCTCCTGTAGCTTCAATTACCATATAAATGCTGATTACTCTTCAATCTTTATCTCTAGCCAGATCTGACATCTGAGTCCCACCTGCTTACCAGTCACCTATACTCAGGTATTTAAAGGGCACTTTTAACCTGTGTCAAGTGGAATCCATTTTCTACCACCCTCCAAACCTTCTACTTCCTTCTCCTGTTACTCCTTTCTCAAGGAAAGGCATATGATCAACCTGGCTACCTGAGCAGGTGCCTGCCAGTCATCTTAAGACTCTACTTGCAGCCCATATATCGTATCTATTTTTTTCTATCCCTACTGCCACTACCTGGGTTACCTTTAGCAGGAACTTCAGCCTAACTGGTCCCTCTGCCCCCAGTCTTATCCTCTTCTGGTCCATTCTCCAACCAGCAAATGAAATATCTCACCCAAAGGTAAATATGAACACTTAAACTTCCCTTTGATGGCTTCCCACCGCCCCTCTGACAAAACCCCAACTCCTGAATTTGTCTTGAAAGGCACTGATGTCTTGCATTTCAGTCCAATCTCAATCTCCTTCAGCTTCCTCTCTTCCCACTCTCCCTTAGGCAAACTGTCACCTAAGAATCTTTCATTAAGGCTGCTGGCCTTCACATATTTTTTTCCAACCAGTCTACTGCCTTCCATCTCATCCCTACCTCCCTTAAGTATCAGCTTAAATGTTACTTCCTCCCCAAATCCTGTTCTGACTGATCCCTAGGATTAAATCTGTGCCCTTGTTGCATGTTCTTTAGCACCATGTACAAGCACTTCCACTCAGCACACCATACTGCTGTCCCTTGTTTGATGTTTTCCCTGCTAGACTTTAGAATCACTGTGGTCCCTGGAATGCAGAAAACAAGCTTGTCTTGTTCACCGTTACATCCCAACTTGGAGCACAATACCTGGCACAAAGCACACACTTCATAAGCACTTGCTGAAGAAGGAAAAAAGTGAGGAGGAGTGGAGTTCTGTCTCCAACTATAACCGCTGGGTTACTGACTTTTTATTCCCTATTTATTTATTTATTTATTTATTTATTTGACAGAGACAGAGACAGAGACAGCGAGAGCAGGAACACAAGCAGGGGGAGTGGGAGAGGGAGAAGCAGGCCTCCCGCCGAGCAGGGAGCCCGATGTGGGACTCGATCCCAGGACCCTGGGATCATGACCTGAGCCGAAGGCAGTCGCTTAACCAACTGAGCCACCCAGGCGCCCTATTCCCAATTTTAAAACTTGTTCAATAAGGGAAGGATGAGAAAGAAGATGATATCTGTAGTCCTATTATATGCCATGCTCTGTGCTATTTCCTGTAATCCTTATAAGAATCTCCTGAGCAGGGGCGCCTGGGTGGCTCAGTCGTTAAGTGTCTGCCTTCAGCTCAGGTCATGAATCCAGGGTCCTGGAATCGAGCCCTATATCAGGCTCCCTGCTCAGCAGGAAGCATGCTTCTCCCTCTCCCACTCTCCCTGCTTGTGTTCCTGCTTTCACTATCTCTCTGTCAAATAAATAAAATCTTTAAAAAAAAAAAAAAAAAAAGAATCTCCTGAGCAAGTAAATACCCATGACTGAAGAGGAAAGTGACTCAAAAGTTTAATGGCTTGCCCTAGGTCCTTCCACTTGCAAATGCTGGGCTAAGGATCCAACCCAAGTGTATATGGCAAGGAAGGTCCAGGTGAGTCACAGTTCCCAGCAATCACTCTGCAATCCAAGTCCATACCCCAGCAAAACCTTACTTGAAATTTAATACACAAATGTATTCAGTAACCTTAGCTACCACATTTTCAACTAAACTTCTACAGAATTCTGGCAACTTTTCAATTTTTAAGCAATAAAGTAAATCGCTAGCATCCCTTTAACATGACAGACAGTTCTTTCTTAAAAATGAGACCTACTAAAAAAAATAAAAAATTTTTAAAAATTTAAAAATGAGACCTACTTAAAAAAAAGAGAGACCTACTAATACATATACAAGTACTACTTCTCTATTCACTTGGAGTGTTTAAAACTTAACATTCACAGTACATTGTATCTGACAAAGAATTTGTATCCAGAACAAATAAACAAGTCTATGACTTGATTAAAAATGGGCAGGATTTGAACACTTAACAAAGTAAGATATACAATGGGCACTATGCAAATGAAAAGATGCTCAATCTCATTAATCACCAGGAAAATGCAAATAAAACAATGAGGTACTATTATACACTGGTGCCAGTGACTAAAATTAAAGACCCAGCACTACCAAGGATGAAGATGCCAGAAGAAATGTACACTTTCTAGAAAATGTCAAACTATTTTTAACATTAAACTATATGACCCAACAATTTGACTCATAGGCATTTACTCAAGAGAAACACAAATATATGTCCACCCAGAGACCTGTACATGAATTTCATAGCAGTTTTATACATAGTAGTCCAAATTTTAAAATAAACAACTCCAATATCCACCAAAAGACCCAGAGATAAATTATGGTATACCCATAGAATGGGCAGTACTCAACAACAGGAAGGATCACAGTACTACTGCACAAAACATAGGGGAACCTTAAAAATAAAATGCTGAACAAGAGAAGCCAAACACAAGAGAGCTGTAGGATTCCATTTACATAAAACTTTAGTAAAGACATGTTTAATCTGGGGCACCTGGGTGGCTCAGTCTTTAAGCATCTGCCTTCGGCTCAGGTCATGATCCCAGGGTCCTGGGATGGAGCCCCGCATCGGGCTCCCTGCTCAGGGGGAGACTGCTTTTCCCTCTCCCACTCCCCCTGCTTGTGTTCCCTCTCTCACTGTGTCTCTCTGTCAAATAAATATATAAAATCTTTAAAAAAAAAAAAAAGACGTGTCTAATCTACAGTGATAGAAGACAAATCAGCGGTTGTCCAGGACAGGACAGATGGGAGAGGTGACTGGGAAGAGGCATAAGGAAACTTTATGGGGTAAGATCCATGTTTTGTATCTTAATTGTATTGGTGGTTACACTGGTGAAGATGTGTCAAAACTCATGGAATTGTACACTTAAAATGTGTAAGTTATATCTCAATCAAAGCTATTAAAAAACCAACCTAATTACCTTTTATTTTCTCCAACAATTGACTCTGGTACATGGTATATCTTAATGCCTGCATCCATGGCCTCACATCATGCTGTTTACATGAACGCAGAGCTTCACTGAAGAGTGGAATAAGACAATCCTGCCAGAGAAAAACCAAAACTACTTAATGTAAACAGCCTCTTATATGTTCATAGGTTGAGGTAAGCTGCACCCCCATAAGCCAACTACTCCAGGCTCATCTAATTAAACTCTCCACTTTCTTCACTATCTTCTGATCATAAGAGGAAAGACACTGTAAGAGCAAAATGTTTTGGGGGAAAAAAAAAATTCCAATTTATCAATATACTGAATAAAGCACACTTTTATAAAAAATAAACACAGCATATTTACTATAAAGTTGAATTACAGAGAAACATAAAACTATTGGCTTTATAAGCAGATTCTCATAGACTATAATTCCCTTGGGAAGGGCCCATCTTTGGTTAAACTTTACCCTATCTGGAAGAGATGAGGTGTCTTCATTATTATTATTAACTTTTTTTTTTTAAGTAAGCTCTTCGCCCAACATGGGGCTTGAACTCACAACCCTGAGATCAGGAGCTGCATGCTCTACCAACTGAGCCAGCCAGGTGCCCAAGAGAGTCTTTGTTTTAATCAAATCTAAAATTTGTAACACCCATCAATGGAAAACATATTTATATACACCAACCCTTCTTCCAAAAAAAAAAGAAAAAAATTAAGCAATTAGCCATCCTTGAAATGACATATCTTAGGTTCCTCCATCTGCCTCACACACTTCTCAAATGAAAATGTGCCTGAAAGTGACATTTTAGATTTCTGGGTTTACTAGCTTGTCCAACAAATGCTACTTTAAAAAGTCAAAAAAATCTTGGGGCACCTGGGTGGCTCAGTCAGTTGGGTATCTGACTCTTGGTTTTGGCTCAGGTCATGATCTCAAAGGTGTGGCATTGAGCCCTAAGCTGGGCTCCAGGCTCAGCGGGGAGTCTGCTTGAGATTCTCTCCCTCTGCCCCTTCTCCACGCTCTCTCTCTCTCTCAAATAAATAAATCTTAAAAAAAAAAATTTTTTTTTTTCTACACGAATGCCTATTAATGTTCAGAAGAACATCCTGATAAGGATACACACATACACACCTCTGTTGAAAGTCTGTTAGAAACTGTGTTCTCCAAAGCAGAAGAGCAATACAGCTGTAAGGTACTTAGAACTGGCAGAGACTGTGAAACTGTTAAAGTAGAAAGTCTCAGTGGTCCAATAGCTATGCGGGAGGTTTGCTTCAAGTACTTTACCACATTTCTGAAACAAAATATTCACTGTCAATTAATAAATGAGATTTTCCAACCTGGTAATCACTGAAGGGATAAGGTGGTTTGGTAAGATGCTACTATAGTGGCATCCAAAGAGGAGGAAGGAAGAGGAGCTGCCTGCCCTTTAGTAAAATTACATAAGCAAGTCAAGACATGCTTCTGGGGATTTCTACAGTTTAGTTAGTTTCAACCTCTATATATGTTGCCAAGTGGCATTCTTGTGTCATGACTTCTACAACTAAAATGAAGCTATCATGACTAACATTGTAGTGATCACATAATCGACTCCTCCCCAAAGGACATACATTTACCATATGGTATACATAGTGCACACCAACCTCTTTAGGATTAAACTTACTCAGTTATGGACTGCCACTTCTGATCTTGTTCTATATGGTTTAAAGCGGTTGCCAGACAAACAGAACTTCTCAACAACTGAACTTCAATGGATTTCTGAAGTTCCCTTGGATCCGGACTTAACATATTAGGAAGCAGTTTTTTCATATCTACAGAAGTTAAATAAATTCCGTGAAGTTAATTTGCTTTTAATGTGTTAAGAGTGATAAGATATTTTGACAGTATTAAAAAGTTATCACCAATGAAAACATTCTTTCATATTTAAATGCAGGTAGCTGAACACTATGATTAAGCATTTCTGATAGCTATGTAAAAAATATAGTCCACATTCAAATTATATCTCAGACCTGCCTCAAAACAGCTGATTTCCAAAGTTCCAAAATCAGCAAATCAACCTACTACATTTAAAAGGGCAAATCTAGCCCTACTTTGCAAACCTTACTGAATCTAGCAACTCAATACTAACACACAAACTACTCACCATACTAACGTTAGTGTAATATTTTACATAATGTTCAGTTGTGGTAAGAAAGTTAATGAACCACAGTAAAAGGTCAAGAAAAATATTTAGCTTAAAGACTACTTAAACTTTTTCAAACGTGGCTAGATAAATCTCAAAGTCTTACAATAGCCTTTTTTTAGTTTAATTTTACTTACATTGTTTTTATTTGCCAAATCAAATATAAGTAAAACAGACCTAAAGATGTTCCTTAACATATGATTCTGCTCCAAAATAAATGTACAAAAACTTCCAGATTTTCCAGTAAAATACTAAGCTAAACATCTTGAGCAACATGTCTATAAAATACTTAATTCTAAGATTATTATTTCAAATACCTATTTTCTCTTTTGATCCTCCAGCAAGTAGATTGATATTTTCTCCTGGTAACAATTCTAATTGCTCAGTACACTCAACAAATTCTCCAGATTCAAAACTGCTTAGTGATCTGTAATTAAAATACCAGTTAGCTTGTATTACACTTATCCAGCCTGTGGGATCATTCAAAAAAAGTAGAACAAATTCTAGAAAAACACAGCACAGTTACACAGCATTCTCTTGATGAGGTTCCTTCTATGTAGGCCATCATTTTTTATTTCTATTTTGAAGATGTGACTACCGATTTAATTAGCACTAAAATCAGAGTGGCAAACCAGAAAGCCACAGCTATAGTAGTCATTCACAGTTTAGCATACTCACCCCTCCATGTTTCCTTCCTCTTTTGGTAGCCTGTTATCTTCGGGGGCCCATCCAACAAACTGACAGATCTCTGCAGGGCAATGCTAACATCTGATTCTCCCCAAACTACCTCTAAATTCGCTACATGGCCCCATTCCCCACCTAAAGCCCAGGCCCCTGGGGGGCTCCTGTTCTATTATCTTAGCCTTCCATCTCATCCCACCTTTCACTGCTGGCCTCCCTCCCTCTCTCCCTTCTCCAACGTGTTTCACAGAAGCGGTTTCTCTTTTTTTTTTTTAAGATTTTATTTATTTATTTGACAGAGCACGAGAGAGGGAACACAAGCAGGGGGAGTGGGAGAAGGAGAAGCAGGCTTCCCGCTGAGCAGGGAGCCCGATGTGGGGCTGGATCCCAGGACCCTGGGATCATGACCTGAGCCAAAGGCAGACGCTTAACAACTGAGCCACCCAGGCACCCCGCTGTTTCTCTTATTTAAAAGAATTCTTCCTTTCCATCTCCTTATGCCTCTGAAACTCCTTTAGTCATGTAGCATCAATGTTAGGACGAGAGGCCTTCTAGCTCCTTACCTACTGGCTGCTACTTTCAGACACTCACTCTGTTCCCATTCCTACTATAGCTGCTTTCCAACCAAGACGATGACTCGGTTTCTTAATCTCTATTTTCCATTAATCCATTCTTCTTTTCCTGTCCCTCTCGCTGTGCCCCTCCCTTACAACACAGCCTGAATCCAGCACTAGAAATGTAACATCAATGACTGCATCTGCCTCCCCCTTATAAGCTCCAAACCTGGACCAAGGCAACCACGTGCTTCTCATGTGAGCCGCAACTGATGGAACTGTCGAGGTTTGGTAATAACACCCTTATCATTCCTGCCACTACAGGGTCTGACTTCTCTCCAGTGGCAGGTTCCCTGTGTCCCCACTAGGCTCTACAATGCCCTCACACTCTCAGCTAATGACTGACTCCTCAAAACACACACACACACACACACACACAGCCTGACAGGCTTTCATTTCCTCTACTCTTACTCTTAATCCACCATCTACCCGCTCCCAAAACTCTGTCCATATCCAACTACTTTCCTTGCGTGCAAAAAAGGAGGGTTCTTTTTTCCAGTTAATCCTTCAATCAATGTTCTTTATCCTGTTTCTTCAACCTCTGCTTTCTAGTCACTCCTTCCCCTGAGCTTAAAAGAACACTTAATCTCTCCAATACTTCAATACACAACATTGTCCTCCAGCCACAGCTTGCACTCCTTGACTTCATGAAGAACTCACTACCCAAGTAACCTTTAGAGCTTTTGATTTCCAAGTTTCTTCACTACTCAATAGTATTCAGCCTGGCTGCTTCTCCTTCTCTCTCTCTCTCTCTCTCTCTCCAAAGCTCTTCTTGCGTGCAGTCTCTGGAACTCCTAACAAGGCAGACTACCCCAGTCTGGTTCTCCTACATTCGGAACTCTTCCTTCCTCAGTGTCTTTGTGTTTTTTATCAATGGCTTCATCTCCCCTCCCTTAACAAAGATGCTTGTAAGGAGTCTGTCCTTGGCCCTCTTTACTTTTCACTCACCCATCCCCAGGGCTTTATCTGTAACTGGGTAGCTTACAAAGGCTCTGGAGTACACAGGAGTTTGAAAAGAGGGTTTTTTACTGTCACCTACATGTAAATGATCCCCAAATCATTCTCTAGCTTAGACTTTTCTCCTTTGCTCCAAATCCAATTCTTAATTGCTTATTAAACAATCTCCTCTGCATGTTTCATTTGCACCTTAAACACACCTCATTGTCCTGTGTGCTCCTACTTCAATTAGTGTCTGTTTCTCCCTCTACCTCTGTCCCACAGGTTAGTAGTCTACATGCCACCACCCTTGCCATCAATCCACCCAGTCTCTTCACAACACAGCAGAGTGAACCACTAAGTCAGATCAGGACATGCCTCTCCTGTTCAAATCTCACCTAAGATTTTCTCTCTCATTAGGAGTCAAAGTCCTTCTCACAGTTCCCTCCTACTCTCTACCCTTATCTCTTATTATTCACTCTGCTTCAACCAGAGTGGCCTCCAGGGTATTTCCAGAACACTCAAAGCACATAATTCTTCCATCAGACCGGTTTCCTCAAGTCTTTGCTCAATGTCATGCTGATGGCATTCCCAACCTTGTCTGTCTGTCTGTCTGTGTCTCCTCTAGAAGGGAGCTCCTCAAGGGTCAGAACTCGTGTTTCATGAAATGTTGCACCCCACTGACTGGCATATAGTACACGCTCAATGGAGAAATTACCCATTAACACATTTACTTTTTAGAAGCTGGGCTTCTCGATGGGAAGGACAGCTAATGACCTGTGTCCAAGCCACTTACGGGTATACAGATTTTGAATTAAGGGAATATTTTGTGGAGTTTTTTAAATTTAAATATTTATTTAAGTAATCTCTACACCCAATGTGGGACTTGAACTCATGACCCCAAGATCGAGAGGCGCATGCTCTACCAACTGAGACAGCCAGGCGCCCCAGTACATACATTTTAAATTAAGGTATTAATAAATACACAGAGGAACAACAAGAAGAAAAAAGACAAGAAAGGGAATTTAATTTACAAATGTTCATAAACTGCACTCCTTAGAATATTTTCAATCAATTCAAACCTACTTTAGAAACAGTCATCAAATGTGACCCTTTCTAAAGCAGTAACAAATTTCTCTTTATATTTATTTTGTAAGCTCTAAGAATCAATACCGAATGACTGTTTCAACAGTGACAAGACTGTTTTCCCACTGCATGAATACCTTCCTCACCTCTAATGTTGGTTTCTCACTGTAGTCATTTTCAAACAGCAATATTATTAGAACTTCAAATATCTTGCAATAGTAGGTATGACCAATTTCAATATTTTTCTGTCGTAGAGGAAGACTTTAAAGCTACTGAAAATTTATTTAAATGAAAAAAGTCCTTACTTTATGTAGTTGAAATCAGCTTTCAGGTTGAGAGAAGTGCTGCTGGTACTCTTCTTCAAGTCGTGGATAGCATTCTGCCACTCCTGTACGGCAGCCCAATCAGCAATGGAAATGTAGCACTCACACGCTTTATTTCCCAAATAATTTATAACCTCAGGGGAAGAGTCAGTTGGCTTAGACAACACAGTTTTTCTGGATTCACCTGAGTGAATGTATTTTATAAAACAGAGAGATCCAGGGCAGTTATAAATATTTTAAAGAGCACAGAAATCTAAAAATACACAGTAAGATCGTCAGTACAAACTATCTGACTACAGCTTTTTATTTACATTCCAGAAGCTCACCGTTCAGAGAATGTTTGGGGCTGGCACTGTTCCGCCCAGCGTTGGCCAACGTGAGAACAGATTTCTCAAAGCTGGAGATGCAGCAATCGATGCCTGTCATGGCGCACAAGTGCTCCTGGTACTCCACAGAGGCCTTTTCAAACCTTTAATGCAAATTCAAACAGTCACTATTTTTAATTATCCACAGAACTCACGTCCAAAAAAAAACAAACAAAAAATTAATCACTCAACAAATTGAGCAGGGCAATAAATAAACCGAGTGGAGACAATGAGTTAATTATTTTGTGTGGGGTTGGGGTGCACAAATTTTATTTTTTTCCTCACAACAAATGAAAATAAATTCAAAAAAGAAAAAAAAAGGGAGGGGCGACTGCGTGGCGCAGTTGGTTGGGCGTCTGGACTCCTGGTTTCGGCTCAGGTCATGATCTCAAGCCCTGCACCAGGCGTCTCACTCAGTGTGGAGTCTCTTCAGACTTTCACCCTCTCCCTCTGTCCTTCCCTACTGTGCACATATCTCTCTCTCAAAAAAATAAATAAACAGAATCTTAAAAGAAAAAAAAAGGCATTATACAGTAACAGAAGGGGCGCCTGGGGGGTTGTCAGTTAAGCGGTTAAGAGTCTGCCTTTGGGGGCGCCTGGGTGGCTCGGTCGTTGGGCATCTGCCTTCGGCTCAGGTCATGGTCCCGGGGTCCTGGGATCGAGCCCCGCATCGGGCTCCCTGCTCGGGGGGAGGCCTGCTTCTCCCTCTCCCACTCCCCCTGCTTGTGTTCCTCTCTCGCTGTGTCTCTGTCAAATAAATGAATAAAATCTTTAAAAAAAAAAAAAAAGAGTCTGCCTTTGGCTCAGGTCATCATCTCAGGGTCCCAGGATCAAGCCCCACATCAGGCTCCCTGCTCAGCAGGGAGTCTGCATCTCTCTCTCTCCCTCTGCCCCTTCCCACCTCTCGTTCTCTCCTTCTCACTCTCTTTCTCTCATAAATAAATAAAATCTTAGGGAAAAAACACAAAGGTATCCTTCACTTTAAAAAATATATATAACAGAAAATACTGGTAAGTATCTGATTTCAATGTACACAAAGGCTAAGAAGAATAAATTTTTAAGAATTCAAAAAGTAATAGATACTAATGACATAATTTGAAACTTTTAAGTACCAAAAACACCATAAATATTAAAAACAAATTACAAATCAAGAAATTAGATAGCATCAACAATCTCGCTGTATAATAAAATCTCACAGATCAATACAGGAAAAAATGAGAGCCCATGAAGACATAATCTACATTTTTAAAAATCACAAATGATCAACAGAACATATGGGGAAAGTCCTACTATTAATCATTAATAAACAAATGTAAATTAAAACTATCTTCACTGATGATGATGGCAGGGCTGTTTTTCAGAGACCCTCAGTACAAAGGTGAAGGGAAGGGGTTATTCTTCTATTGTTAAGGATTAAACTGGAAACAGTTTTCTGTATAGTAACTTAGCAAAAGAATGTACCATAAGCCTTATGGTCTATAGCCTTTCTTCTAGTAAATCAACTTGAAGGAATGAATTCAAAGAAAATAAACACAACTATAAGCTATAAAGAATTAAGTACATGGTACATTAAGATTAGTAAAAAACATAAAAAATAACCTTACCTTCCAATAAAATTAACACTGTAGAATATTTAACATGGGAAAAATATTTTTTAAAATATTGCTGAGTGGCAAAAGCAAAATGAGGTAACCAGCAAAAACACAGTGATTTCTGGGAAAAGACTGTATATGAAAGAAAAAAAGAACTAAAATGGCATGTACACCAAAACTAACAGTTTTCACTGGCAGATGGAATTATGAGTTCTTTATTTCCTACATTTTCCAGATTTGGTAAAACTGACAAAAATATACACAGACTATTATGGTTCATGTTCATTTACCTAGCGAAATCAAGGAAGTTTAAATGTTAAGTGCACAGGGCTAATGAGCAAGTACTCTAGTTTGTACCAGACTCTGAAATGAAAGATTATCAATTACGGATCAAGTTCAAAAATATATAAAACAAGTATGGGGCGCCTGGTAGCTCAGTTGGTTAAGCGTCTAACTCTTGATTTAGGCTGAAGTCATGATCTCAGGATCATGAGATCAATCCTCACATCAGGCTCTGTGCCAGGCATGGAGCTCCCTTGAAATTCTCTCTCTCCCTCTCCCTCTGTCCCTTTTCCCTGCTCCCTATCAAGAGAGACAGAAAGATGGAAAGAAATACAGGAAGAAAGACAAAAAGAAAGAGGAGAGAAGGAGAGAAGGAAGGAGGGAAGGTAGGAAGGAAGGAAGGAAGAAAGAAATTAATTTACAAAACAATGGGCAGATCTTACTTTAAGGAAGACTTCTTACTAATCCATAAATAAGAAAGGCATCTAAGTTTTGCTGCTACTTAAAGAACAGACTAAAGATGACTCCTAGTAAAGTGACTTACAGCAAGTTTCAATTGCTGAAACTGAACAAAGCTGTTTTAACATTTAACTACAGGGGCGCCTGGGTGGCTCAGATGGTTAAGCGTCTGCCTTCGGCTCAGGTCATGATCCCAGGGTCCTGGATCAAGTCCCACATCGGGCTCCCTGCTAGGTGGGGAGCCTGCTTCTCCCTCTGCCTCTCTCTCTCTCTCTCTCTGACTCTCATGAATAAATAAATAAAACATTTAACTACAATGTTAGCCAGGAATACAGAGGATTTTTTTTTTTTAAGATTTTATTTATTTGACAGAGAGACACAGCAAGAGAGGGAACACAAGCAGGGGGAGTGGGAGAGGGAGAGCTGAAGGCAGACGCTTAATGACTGAGCCACCCAGGCACCCCAGGAATAGAGGATTTAAATGTAAAGACAACCTATCACCTATTTCCTTCCTTCCAACTTACCTCCCTTCAGCCTGCTGGGCCACTGAATTAATCCAGAGAAGATTCTTTCCAACAATGGAAGATGACCAGACAGCAATTCCCTGTATAGCTTCAGGACAATGAAGCTCACACAGCGCTTCTACCACCATCATGATGGTTACTTCCAATTCATTCCCCTGAGAGTTCATTCAGAAAAATTAATCATAGATCTCAATACCATTAAAATTTAAGTATCTACTAAATTTACTACTGATCACAATCTAAGCCCATTTAAAGGCAAATGTATTTCACAGTTATTTTTACAACAATGGTATTATATTATTAGATCAGAATTCTTGAAAATTTACACATAATGTATCTACAAAACGTAACAACCTTAACAACACATGGGTGTCAATCTTTACAAACTAAGTTACCCAAACATTTAAACTGTGGTATCTATACGAGTAACATATGAAGTAATTATACAGCAAAAATCAAATATAAATAACCATGAATTAAAAGATTATTAATTTTATGTCTGAATACTGCTTATTGATATTATATCTAATTAATAAGCATTTGCAGGGCGCCTGGGTGGCTCAGTTGTTAAGTGTCTGCCTTCGGCTTACATCATGATCCCAGGGTCCTGGGATCAAGCCCCCATCAGGCTCCCTGCTCAGCGGGAAGCCTGCTTCTCCCTCTCCCACTCCCCCTGCTTATATTCCCTCTCTCACTGTCTCTGTCAAATAAATCTTTAAAAATAAATAAACATTTGTTATTTTTGGATTCCACTTACTGAACCCATCTATAAGCCAGCACTTTCCCCATGTAACATTATATGTACCTTTGCATATATTATAAATTATATATACGTTCCTATACATTATACAATTCTTAAAAATTATGATGAGAATTTTCTTCTACAAATTTCTAAGAATTACCTTTAAAGTTCCAACCTTAAACATAAGTAATACATATTTTGACATGTTCTAAGTACAAAATATGAATAGGTGATTTGGAAGTTCTTGCTTTTACAAAATACTGAATCAAAACCTTTGAAATATAAGTTTTGAATGAATAGAAATTTTAACTTATTTCATCCATAGATTAAATCACAATAAAGGAATTAAACTCAAATTTTTGTAATTAACAGATTTAAAATTAACTCCAAATACACTTTACCTGAGATAGATTTGTCTTCATTTCTGTAAGCAAGTCAAAGCCGTGTCTCACGGTCACAGCAGGCTGGCCTGCCAACAACCCAACCCTCATAATGGAAAGTCGGATCCGTGTCAGCCAGTCTTGGCAAGTTTGGCGATTAGTATAAAAAAAAGTCCTAATGACCTTTAGAATAAGGAAAAAGAAGAGCTCAGGATTGGTTAAGATTCTAGGTATAGATGTCTCAAATACACAAGAGTATGGTGATTTAAGCTCTACACGCACTGCCAGGCTTGCCCATGAAAATGCTACAAAGCAACACTCAACCCACTGAAACCAACCTTGGGAGGTGATGTTAATGCATTAGCGCACCCCTCGTATGCATTATACATTAACTTCTCCAAATTTTCCAGATACTGCAGAAGAAGAACAAGTCTAAGCTGGTTGCTACTGTGGCCTTCATCATTGTCTGCAGTTGTCCACTGATTAACATCTTGATCGGGATTTAATGTGTGAGCTGCAAGACTTCTAATGATACCTTAAAGCAAAGACAACATTCCAAATTTAAAAGAAATCTTTAAAGATTCTAGAAGGTGGAGATAATTTCACAAAATCACATTTATCAAGCATCCTCTGTACATCCATCATTTAAAAACAAAACTCCCAACATGAGAGATCTCTTATTTTAGGGGAAAAAAATGTTTTCTCTACACAAATCCCCTAGTTTTTGTTTTTTTTGTTTTTGTTTTTTAAATCCCCTAGTTTTTGAACAGAAGTAGATAACCATGTTGTTGTCAACACAATTACTCGATGAAAGTTTGTCAGAGTATTAAAGATAAACAAAGCGTATACTCTCAAATTTTTGTTTTAACAAAGGTAAGAAGTCCATTCTTTCTTACTATAAGAAGGATTTGAAAGTATTTATATCACAAAGTTTGAAAAAGCACAAAGAGCTGATTACCTTCAATGGTCTGGAAGGTATCCTGAGCTCTGCCCAATGGGGTTCTCAACTTAGAGAGGACAGTGAACTGTGCTGCCTCCCAAATAGCCCACTGCCAAAGGATAGCATCTGTCTTTAGAAGATTTCGGGGAATTGTTGATTGGTCACGCTTATCCAGTCTCTGGCAGCTATAGAACAATCTTTCTAACCAATTGTCCTTCCTGGGAAAAGCAGTTTCATATTTAACAGACAATGACAACTTCATTAAAAAAAAAAAAAAAAATTGCCACAGGAATAGGAGTAGGGGACTACAATTTTTCCTACCTCAAAACGGCAAAACCTTTAACACGGAGAAGCATTATATCCCTATCTTTCATTGTGAGGTCTTTTACAGTTAAAACCAGGATGGGGTATGGTGTGGATGGCTTATTAGGGGTAAATGGCTTATGATACTTCAGCTATCAGGATAAAACATTCATTGCAACTAAGCATCTGCAAAATGTCTATGTCCCTAGGCCTGTCCCCAAAGCATTCATGACTAGGTCAGAACAGTTAACTGTCAACATATTTCAATCTCAAAACCCATTTTTGTTTCTTCAGATACTATCTTCAAAGCAATTCTTCTTACTGCCGAAAACAAAAATAACCCATTTGAGAAGATATCACTTTCTATTCTGCCACTCCGGACATATTTTCTCCTCAAAATGGGAATAGGGTCAAGATATTCAAGAATATTTAAGTTACTTTCGCACATGAAGGAGTCAAAGAAAATCTTACCCTGTTCTGTGAGAATTCCCATACAAAATAAAACTAATAACATCAGAGAAATCTTGTGGATGGAATGTGTTACTTGGTGCTTTGCTCATGTGACTTCTTAATGCTAAAGAAATTTCTTGAATTTCTGTGTGATTGTTATTGCTGGAGAAAGAAAATAAAGTCACTGTTCCACAAAATGTTTTAGTTAAAAGGTTACTTCATACTGTAAATGGGCTATTTCCTTGCTAACTAAATGTAGGAATGAAAAAATAAAACTGAGACTTCAAAATAGAGATGTTACAACTTGAAAATTAACTTAATCAAAAACAATAAAGACTACACTTGAATTCTTCAAATAACTGTACTAAGAAACACATTTTGGCATATGTTATAAATTATTATATATAGGGGCGCCTGAGTGGCTCAGTCGTTGGGCGTCTGCCTTCAGCTCAGGTCATGATCCCAGGGTCCTGGGATCCAGCCCCACATCAGGCTTTCTGCTCAGCGGGAAGCCTGCTTCTCCCTCTCCCACTCCCCCTGCTTGTGTTCCCTCTCTCGCTGTCTCTGTCAAATAAATAAATAAAATCTTTTTTTTAAAAAAATTACTATATATATTATTATATATATTATATAAATTATTCAGTACTTATTATCATGAGTTTCTAAGTTTATAAAAAATATTAAACTTTGTTACTTTCTTCTAGACCTGCACAATTTGATCCTCTGGCATCTCTTCAGTCACTGAGAGGTGCCATACGAGACATGACATTAATTCACTATTAGGCAATTTGTCTCTTCCTAAAGGACTACTAGGCAGTCAAACAGTGGGATGCTTTTGTTCCAACACAACTGTTATACCTCAAAACAACATCTAAAGGAATTGATTTCAACAGCTTTCCAAATGCTTGTCGAATACGAGTTCCACTATGGACAAGTTGAACACGGCAAACATCAACACACCTACAAAAAGATGAAACAGATAATATGAGTGTGGCAAAAGCTTTAAGTTATTAGGACTAGGGTGAGATGATAGGATCTTTAATCCATACCTCTGTAAAAGATCGTCTGGCAAAGAAGAAGACAAAGCATGTAGACTGCTGCATGCTTGCAGACAGATATTCACATCTTCAACAAGAGCTATTAGGAATTAAAAGACACTTTCAGCTTGCCAAAAGAAATTATATACCCGCATGTCGTAACTTCCCGAACCCATTCACTCATTCAACAGTTAAGTGCCTCCCAGGGACGAGGCCCTGCTCCTGCCTAGGACCCTTGCTGGTAGAAACGTTTGGGAAAATCACACATTCAACAAAATCCAACGTCACGAGCCTTCACCTCAACCATTTTCTTAAAGAAATTTAGAAGTATACGGAATGTAAAAACATTCACATAAGCTTAAAAATGTGACAATCACTTAAAAACAAATCACATATTAAGAATAACTTAAGACAGGGTGCCTGAGTGGCTCAGTTGTTAAGCGTCTGCCTTCAGCTCAGGTCCTGGATTGAGTACCGCATCGGGCTCCCCACTCAGCGGGAAGCCTGCTTCTTCCTCTCCCACTCCCACTCCCCCTATTTATGTTCCCTCTCTCACTGTCTCTCTCTCTGCCAAATAAATAAAATCTTTAAAAAAAAAAAAAAAGAATAAGTTAAGACAGATTATGCATTTGCCACTGAGATAGGAATTATACATTTCATGTTATGAAAATGTTCAAGTGACTATCTTTCTCTCATGACCAAAGATCCCTTGTAAGAGCAGGTAACAGAATTTTTAAAAATCACAGAATCTTACTGTTGGCTAAAAGGCCTTTGCAAAATTTATGGAAAGATGGAAGAGAAAATAAAGGTGCATATGTTTCAGACTTCTTCATTAAAACAGCCACTTCCAAAGCCCAGGTCATTAACAGTTTCCTGAAACACAAAATAGCCAGTCGACTTTACATTAAAAAAGAAAGAAAAATATAAAAATATATTCTTCTTACATTACTTTGCTTTTGGTTTTTTTAAACATCTCAAGCAACAGGAAAAACAAACTATAGAAATTCCTTTGTCAAAAAGTTGTATGCTTTTTAAGAAAATTTCCCCGGGGCGCCTGGGTGGCTCAATCAGTTAAGGTCTGCCTTCAGCTCAGGTTATGATCTCAGGATCCTGGGATGGAGCCCCATGTGGGGCCCCCTGCTCAGCGGGAAAGCTGCTTCTCTCTCTCCCTTTCCCCCTTCCCCCTGCTTATGCTCGCACGCTCTCTCAAATAAATAAAATCTTAAAAAAAAAAAAAGAAAGAAAAAAAAATTTCCCTAAACTAGCATTAAGTTGGAGCAAAGAATATTAAAAAAACCTCTACAGATACATTCTTCTACAAAACATTGCAGGGCAGGGAGGTTTCATTTAATTCTTTTGGGAAAGAACATGAAATCCTAGACTAAATAATAAAGCTGTATTTTGAAGTGTTTCATAATGAAACTGCTCCACCCTACTACCTCGATAATCTGGATTTCCTATCCTCAAATTACATAGCTAAGTTAATAAAAGTTAAGAACACTTAATATTAGGAAATATTATTTAGTTACCTTGTATCCTGGTTAAGATTATCTTTCTTAAGCAATATTCCCAGGAGATTCAGTATAATTGAGAAATGTTTTTTTGTAGCTGTAGTTACAGTACTTATCACAGCTCCATCAAACAAAGATGGGGATGAAGAACTAAGACTACTAGATATAAAGTGATCGTGCCTGGAAGACAAAGGGAAAATCATCTTTTCATCTCTAATTAAAAAAAAAAAAAAAGTAACTCCAAAGTCAACACGTATTTTTAAAAATCTATACTTTCAAGAGCCCATCCTCCCCTATAAAAATGAAAAAAAAAACAAAAAAAAAACCCCTGTTTACAAGAAGTATCTGTACAGTAAAGTACCTGGTACAATGAGAATACAATGTGTAGAGCACGGCATACTGAATGGCGGGGAAGTGAACAGCCAGGTCACCATGCACAATCATCAGATTCTTACTCAGCAGGGCAAAGACAGTTGGAGATAGCGCCCACATCTGATGATGTACAAACGAAAACAAATGTTTGGCTCCTCCAAGACACACGAGCTTATTCCTCAAAATATTTTAAATTTTTAAAAGTTAAAATGACAGGGGCGCCTGGGTGGCTCAGATCATGACCTGAGCTGAAATCAAGAGTTGGACGCTTCACCGACTGAGTCACCCAGGTGCCCCTGAGCTGTACACTTTAAGTGGGAATTGTATGATGTTTGAATTATATAGCAATAAAGATATTTTTTAAAAAGAGAAAAAAACGGGTGCCTGGGTGGCTCAGTCGGTTAAGTGTCTGCCTTCGGCTCAGGTCATGATCTCAGGGTCCTGGGATCGAGCCCCACGGTAGGCTCTTTGCCCAGTGGGGAGCCTCCTTCTCCCTCTCCTCCTACCCCTCTCCCTGCTTATGTTCGTGCTCGCTCTGTCTCTCAAATAAAGTAATTTTTTTAAAAAAGAGAGAGAAAAAGATATTGAGCTGTATTTGGCCCATAGGCTGTAGTCTACTGAGTCCTGATTTAAACAAAGTCCTCTGTACCCCCCAATGTAGCAAATTGCCTCTCCTCAATTTTCGATACACTACACATGGCAAGGTGCCCTGTCCAATGAGAAAAAAGGAACATCTTGCCACTCTTAAGCTTTACCCATCCTTCCCTTTTCCTTCTGCTGCTAATACACTCCATTACACCTAACTGCCCCTTCCTGACCCACTCTCCCTGTTTCCAGAATGCAAGACAAAAAACCTCCTCAAATCTATATACAATGTGAATTCCTCAACAATGAAATTTTAGGGTCTGAGTAGAGTTTACTGTACACCATCAGCCATGACTAGCAGTGAGGGAAGGAACTGCTACTCATCGAGTGATACAAGGCAATCTAATCAGGAAAGCATGCAAATCTAAACATCAAACTTGACTTTCCCCTCCCTTCTCTTTTAGAAAACTTTATCCCTTAATTATATCCTATTTTTTTTTTTTATTAAAAGTAATGTCTTCCAATCCTGCAAGGTCTAACAGAAGGGAAAAAAATAAAGCAATAATTATCAATCAAAAGCAAGGTCACGTCAAATTTCTTAAAAGGAAGAAATCTTTATTCTATTCCCAAAAGAATATATGAATATTCCTAGAGAAAAGTAGGCACTCAAAAAGGAAGACCATATGTAAGCACTAACGTTAGTGAAGAGGAGAAAAGCAGGGAAGAAGGAGTTGCATATTAAAAGAACTATACAAATCTGAGCTGTGGAAAATGTTGACAAATTTTTTATAAGCATGCTAGAATACATACAAATTCATAAAAGACATTTTTTAAAAAATAAAATACAAAAAATCTTTGAAGCGTTGTCAAGGAAAGGAAGAGGAAAGCAAAATACAATGGCAAGAAAACATTCCTGTCAACTTTAATTATCCAGGCATGTCCTACATATGGCAGTGTGTTCTACAGTGACTCTGGAAATACTGACATGGTAATAGTAGTAAATAAGATAGGTAAACATGCAATGAAGAGACGGTTAAGTGAGAATAAACAAAGCACTGCAAGTAAAAACTCACCCCAATTAGTGAGTTTTTGGCATTTCCAATTGTAGTCAGGGCACTGAGGTCAAATATAACTACAAATTTTGCATTATCTACATTGAATACGTGATTTTTAAAAGCCTCATGTTTTATTTCAGAGCAGGCATCAGGAAGTTGTAGACTATGTAGCAGGTTGTTTAGGGCACAAGTCATTTCCCCCAAAATTAATTTATAGGCAGTCTCCAAAACAGGAATATTCTTCAGGCTGAGCACTGCTTGATAAACAGCATGGGCTACAGCAACAACCTTTAAAGAGAGAATTCAGGAAAGTGATAATTAAACGGAAAATAAAATTACTAACTGCATAATGTGATGATACAAATCAATTTTAAGACCAATAAATTCACTGTCCAAAACACCAAAGACCTAAATTTTTTTTAAAACCCAACCTTAGGGAACCTACATGTGTCAGTAAATTTATGTCAGTAAGTTTATAAAAATCTTCAAAACTTTATTACAGAGTCCTCTAAATTAAAAGTTCTTAAAAAGCCATTTTTAAAAAATGGCTGGGATCAAAATACACATAAAAAGAGCTATTTATTACAATTACTTTTCCTCTATCTACTTGGAAAGCCTGTAGTGGTTTTGACTGGGAGTCGGCTGAGAAGCTAATAATGAAATTTATGACATACACAGTATCTCTGAATTTATAACTTGATAAATTAACAGCTGCTTGTTTTATGAAATTTTAATAAAACAAACTTAATAAAAACAAATCATGGAAATCTGAAAAGAGTATGTGGCACAGTATGACAATCAACAAATACTAAGCTATATAAATCATTTAATCACTATATTTTAAAACATTTATCATTTCACTCCATTTCATTTATGTAGCCTAGTAAGTAACTTGAGTCAACTCTTCAATGACTGAAGTTACCAAAAGTCCTTGTCAATGCCACACTTACCTCCTTTTCTTTATGATAACGCAAAAATAGTAGTTTAGATGACGGTATGAAAAGTTTTTCTACAAATGATGATGGCAGTTTTGTATTTATCTGTTCAACAATCTGAAAGAATAAAATAAAAAGAAGTGAGCTACCAAGACACAACGGGACATGGGGGAACTTTACATGCATCAAGTTAACTGAAAGAAGCCCATCTGACATGGCTACACACTATGATTCCAACGATAGGACATTCTGGAAAAGGCAAAACTATGGAGACAGTAGTATCCACAGTTACCAGGGATTCAGGAGGGAGGAATAGGTGGAGCACAAGACATTTTTAGGGCAGTGAAACTATTCCATATGATACTACAATAATGAATATGTGGCATTATTCATTTGTCAAAACCCACAAAATGTACAATCCAGAGAGTGAACCCTAAGGTAAACTACAGACCTCAGTTAATAACATGTCAATTTGGTTCATCAACTGTAATAAATGTTCCACACTAAAGCAAGATGTTAATAATGACGGAAACTGGGACACCAGGGTGGCTCAGTCAGTTAACTGTCTGCCTTCAGCTCAGGTCATGATCCCAGGGTCCTGGGATCAAGTCCCCCATGGGGGAGGGGGGGGTCCTTGCTCAGCAGGGAGTCTGCTTCTCTGTCTGCCTACCGCTCCCCCTGCTTGTGTGCGCACACTCCCTCTCTCTGACACATAAACAAGACCTTAAAAAAAATAATGATGAGGGAAACTACTGTGGGAGAGCATATGGGAACTCCATACCTAAGGCTCAATTTTTGTGTAAACCTAAAAACTGCTCTGAAAAATATCTATTAATTAAAGAAGTAATATATCTAAACTGTATTTTAAGGCCTTAACATTATGACAGTAAAATGTCTAGACACCTAAATAGGATATATGTATCTATACTTAAAACATGGGCAATTTTTTTTTACATTGGCAAAGAGAGGTATAACTTTGGCAGAAATGTTCAGCAGAGTATCACCTAGAATTTGCTTTAAAACAATTCAGTTGGAGGGGCGCCTGGGTGGCTCAGGTGGTTAAGCGTCTGCCTTCGGCTCAGGTCATGATCCCAGGGTCCTGGGATCGAGCCCCGCATCAGGCTCCCTGCTCGGCTGGGAGCCTGCTTCTCCCTCTCCCTCTGCCCACCGCACCCCCACCCCCACTGTGATCTCTCTCTCTCAAATAAATAAATCTTTAAAAATAAAAAAAATAAAACAATCCAGTTGGGGATGGAGGCACAGCAAGGAAGAGGGAGGGAGTCAGAGAGGCCTAGATGAAACCAGATAGACCATGTGTTTCTAATTATAGAAAGAGTATTAAGTATACAGAGATTCATTATGCTATTCTGTTTTTTTTAATATACTTCAAAATGTCCATAATAAATGGGGGAGAGGAGGAAGAATATTTATGGTTAAGAATAAAAACTATAGAACAAGTTTCATATGGGAAACAAAACATAACAAGGTCTTTAAAAATAGTTATCAAGTACCCATATGATACTTATCAGGAATACTAGGTAGTCTTACGTGAAAGACAATGTTTCATCAAAGAAAAAAGAAGAAAAGGAATAAAAACTACACCGAGATCAAACACTAAAAGTAAACAGATAACAGAGCAAAAGCAAACTAGATTATATAAATAAGAACTAATGCACTCTTCAAAAAAACAAACATAAAAAACCAAGGCTTTCATTTCTTCCACACTAATTTAAGGGCCTGAATAAATACCGTATTAAAAAGCAAGGAAAAAAGAATTCACATACCAATGTGAGTAAATTCAAGACTGAGATGCTATAATCTGTACCGCAAGTCTGGCAGTTCTCCAGCTGATCTAATCCGTATGTAATGACCATGTCACAATGTATAGTCATGCTAGGATCCAAGCTGCCGAGCAAAACACCAACACACTCATTAGCAGCTGTCAACACAGCCTCAGAAAAAAACACTTGGTTTGCAGCCGTCACACATCTCATTACTCTGTATAGAACCTGCAAATGGGGAGAACAAGCAGCTTTTTAAAAAAATTCACATGCTTCCACAGAGTAAGAAAATAGTTTCTATTTAATGCAGTTTGAACTGAAAATTAACTGCCTGCCTTGTCAGTAGTCTCTTAATATTCTCGCTCTCGGTGGCTGAATAATAAAGGGTATCTTTAGTAAAATATGCAAAAATGATCTTGCCTAAAATATTCTAAAGTACTATTGTGACAGAAAATGGATCCTCTATTTCCCTTATACCCAATTTCTATCACCCTCTCTCCCCCAGCCAAAGTAACCAAGTGGCTGGAGCTCAGAATTTTTATATTCATGAAATTCACCAGTACTTGGAACAGTAGCATTAAACACAGGAATAACCTGCCATGAGAATAATCTTCCTACAATAAAGCACTTGGGCTTTTGGTAATCAATCTTTTAAAACTAAATACCCAAGTCACCTTAGCTTATGAACGTTCATGTACTGATGATCTCTTTGGAAAGGTTAAGTCTCATTCATAACATGTACCTATTTGACGATTATGAAAATCATGTAATTTCCAACCAAAAACCCCACTAAACTACAAGTCAGTATTAATGTACTAAATTTCTAATAAAAATAAGTTAAGAAACAAAGTGATACAGTATGCCTTTCTGTAATTTTCAACAATCACTACATATAGGCTTTAAACCTATAGGTTAAGAAGGCCTAAAAGACATTCATACAAGAATACATTAAATATGTAACTATCCTGGGAAATGATTATTTTCTTTCCTTTTGTTTTACATCTGAGTTTATTGCCTTTATTTCAACATTGACACAGTCACCAAACCACCAACTTTTAGAAAGGAATAAATGAAATGAAGACATTAAATCATCTTGTTCAGGTTTAAAATATCAAAATGCTGGCTTTAATTATCTTCAGGATCTGACATTTCTGTTCAAATACACAATTAACCTACCAAAAATTCATATAAAACTAATATCCTATTTTATTTGGCAATGTGTTCAACAGAAATAAATAAAAGTTAGACTTTTATCCTAACAGAAAATTTTAATCATTTAATATTTTATGACTCTATCACGCATGTTTCTCCCTTCTTATTCAAGAACAGTACAGTGACAGGTTCATTTCTCATGTCTATACACTGAGCTACTCACTGAACTGTAATAGAGTACAGCTAATGTTTGGGGCTGCTAAAGTGTGGTAATCATGCTGCCTCTTATAACTGATCTCAGACTACTAAATATTTAAGTTCTTGTATCTTTATAATCTTGGATGTCAGACTATCAAGTTGTTTCATCCTGTCATGCTCAGAAAAAATTACTTTTTGAGACTTTCTCTACAGTGCATTATTCTCATTATGTTGAAAAACTAAACTCAATAATTATAAAGCAAAAATTAAAATATTCCTTCTAAAGATTTTAAAAGGATATAAAAAAATAATCAATCTAAGAAAGATCTCATGAGAAAAAAGTTCATGCACATTTTAAAATGCAGTATAGCCTTTTTCTCATATAGGGGAGGGGACAGAAAGGAGATGGGATATAATAGGATTCCCTACTTTTCTGGCAATTTAAAGTAGCCACATATGTACAGACATACAAAACAAATGAAGGGTTAGTAACATAGTTCACTAGGTAAAGAAAAAGAAGCATTTACAATACACAACAATTTTGGTTTTGAATGATACTTAAAACTCCTAAAGACACTTACATCTGTTACATATGCCTCAGTGATTGGAGGACCCCGAATTGGGCTGAAGCGTTCCCCAATGCTCCTCACTACAGTACTGAACACCCGGAGAAGCGCGGCCAGCTTGGGTAGCGACACTGATGGAGGAGGAACATCTTCATCCACTGACTCCCCAGAGGCCACATGGCTGAGGTCCTAGATGTGCAATCACAGCACTCTTACTTAAGGAGCACATTGTTCAAAACAAACAAACTAACTCCCAATTTTTAAGTCAATTAACTTTGTTTTTACAAATAAAGGAATTTTAGCCTATCAGAAAAGAAACATGAGAGGTGCCTGGGTGGCTCAACTGGTTAAGCGTCCGACTCTCAATTTTGGCTCAGGTCATGATCTCAGGGTTGTGAGATCGAGCCCCGCATCAGGCTCCGCACTGGGCATGGAGCCTAAGATTCTCTCTCTCTCTACCTCTGGCCCCCATCACCAAAAAATAAAATAAAATTAAAAAAAAAAGTAATCTGTTAGAGAAAGGAACATGAATCTAAATGTAAAAGTAAATTATACTTCACTAATTAACAAATCTATACTTAAATAAGCCAAAAGTAACCTCAGTAGATTAAGAAAATAACTTCTCAGGGACGCCTGGGTGACTCAGTCAGTTAAGCGTCTGTCTTCGGCTCAGGTCATGATCCCAGGGTCCTGGGATGGAGCCCCGCATCGGGCTCCCTGCTCAACGGGAAGCCTGCTTCTCCCTCTCCCGCCCCCCCTGCTTGTGTTCCCTCTCTCGCTGTGTCTCTGTCAAATAAATAAAATCTTAAAACAAAACAAAACAAAAAACTTCTCATACCAACTCAGAAAGGTAGTGGGGGAAAAATAAATAGTACATATGCTCTGTTATATATAGGTATAAATGGAGCCAGAAACTTTTGCCATTCCTGAATTGGTTTCTACTAAAATCTTATTCCAGGTATTCTTTGAGCCACTCAACTCAATAATCCCCCCACACCAACATTATGCACACAAAGGGCAAATGGGGGAGAGAAGTGTTAAATTAGAAAATCTGGTTTACAAATCTAGTTAAGGAAATAAGATATACTCAAAAAAGATTGGCAAAAAATGGGATACTAGAACCAACATATACCTACATATAATTAAGCACCCAAAATAATAGAAGAGAATTTCATCTTATGGACACCAAGGAGGAGAGTCTTTACAAACCAGAATGGGCAGCTTCAGTGAGGTAGATCAGCATTAAAGGTGGGCTAGGAAAAAAGATATTCTAGGTGTGGAGGCAAAGAAACATGTAGAAGCAAAATTTTCCTTCCACTCTTCTCTGAAAGGCTCGAAATAGCATAGATGAAGCTAAAACATTATAGGAGCCTCAAACACCAAGGAAGAATCACGGTACGCCTGAATAAGGAAGAACCACAAAGAAGTTCTCAGAGGACATGGCCAATTTAAGTCATGACCAGTGAGCTAAGAAAGCCAAGACCCAATACCAGAGACTTCAGTAGCACCCCTGAAGTCGCCATACTATACTTGTATAGCTGCAAAAATTTGCTAGAGCCAAGTCTTTTCCTGCAAAGCATGATCCAAGATCCCCACTATATGTAAAAGGAAAGTCTTTAGGGGCTTTTATACAACATCAATTCACATTACTTTTAATATGCTTTTGGTATCAAAAAATAAAAATGAACTATAGAAAATGTCTGAAAACTACTAGCCACCAGGAATATTTTAAGCTTTGCAAAATGAGGCCTGCTATTTTTCTTTCAGTCTTTCTGATAATTCAGCTGGTAACTTAAAAACAGCATCTAGGGGCACCTGGGTGGCTCAGTCAGTCATTAAGCATCTGCCTTCGGCTCGGGTCATGATCCCAGGGTCCTGGGATCGAGCCCCATATCTGGCTCCCTGCTCAGCTGGAAGACTGCTTCTCCCTCTCCAACTCCCCCTGCTTGTGTTCCCTCTCTCGCTGTCCTGCTCTCTCTGTGTCAAATAAATAAATAAAAGCTTTATTTAAAAAAAAAGCATCTAAAATTTTTTTTTAATATTGCAATGGTCTTGTAATTTCTATTTAAATGTCAAGTGGTCTGAATTATTTTAAAATAAATCTAGCACTGTTAGGGGCACCCGGGTGGCTCAGTCAGTTAAGTGTCTGCCTTTGGCTCAGGTCATGATCCCAGGGTCCTGGGATCGAGCCCTACATCAGGCTCCTGCTCAGCAGGGAGCCTGCTTCGCCCTCTCCCTTTGTCCCTCCCCACCCCTGGTGCACACCCTCTCTCTCAAATAAATAAAATCTTTAAAAAAAAAATTTTTTTTTTTAAATAAAATAAATGTAGCACTGTTTAAGATTTTTGTTTGTTCTTAACTGAAATTTTAGGAAATAACTTTCTACATACTCACCTCAGCATATGCCTCCATGTCCTCTAGAAACTGACCAAGAAGAGTGGTAGAAAATGCAAGATCAGCTACCCAAAATGGCTCCAAACTCTGCAACCACCCTAGGAATCAAAAAATTCAAGAGTAGAAAAAAACAAAAAATCCAAATTAAAAATATATCTAAAAGACTTGTTTTAAAAGTTATCTGGTTTTCAAGCTGCATACCCTTAAACAATGCTGTTTCATAAAATTAGAACTATTAACTGTTAAACATGCTGATCATGATTAACCAAAGTCTCTTTTAATGCTGCAAAAATGAACAGTCTCCAGAAATTAAAATGTGATTCTTAGCCCTTATTTTTTACCAGATTTAATATCCATATTGTCAATATACACAAGACTTAGACTAAAATGCCACAATCTGCCACCAGCCTGGCTTTCTACTCCAGAACCCCAACCACCCACCAAAGATGTCCATTAATCTCTCCAGTGGAAATGGGTCAGAACCACTCTCAGTGTGGTATATCCTATTTTCAGAAGTCCACTGCACCAGTTAAGCTAAGAGAAACTATAGCACCTGAAACAAGCTGAAATGTCCAAATGAGTCGTGCTAGTCATTCACTTAAATAAAAAATAAAATAAAATGAAATAAATTTATCGTTTAAACAATTCCCCAAATTGATCCATTTGGTTTTTTGTTTGTTTGTTTTTAAAGATTTTTATTTATTTATTTGACAGAGACACAGCGAGAGAGGGAACACAAGCAGGGGGAGTGGGAGCGGGAGAAGCAGGCTTCCCGCTGAGCAGGGAGCCCGATGCGGGGCTCGATCCCAGGACCCTGGGATCATGACCTGAGCCGAAGGCAGACGCTTAACGACTGAGCCACCCAGGCGCCCCCATTTGTTTTTTTTTATTTTATTTTATTTATTTATTTATTTTTTTTAATTTATTTATTCAACAGAGAGAGAGAGAGAAGCGAGAGAGGGAATACAAGCAGGGGGAGTGGGAAAGGGAGAAGCAGGCTTCCCGCTGAGCAGGGAGCCCGATGCGGGGCTCGATCCCAGGATTCTGGGATCATGACCTGAGCCGAAGGCAGTCGCTTAACAGACTGAGCCACCCAGGCGCCCCAATTTTATTTTTTTTAAATACATAGGTATGATATACATAAACTTTTTTTTTTTTTTTAAGATTTTATTTCTTTATTCATGAGAGACAGACAGAGAGAGAGAGAGACAGAGAGGCAGAGGGAGAAGCTGGCTCCCCAAGGAGCAGGGAGTCCGATGCGGAACTCGATCCCAGGACCCTGGGACCATGACCTGAGCCGAAGGCAGACACTTAACATCTGAGCCACCCAGGTACCCTGCTTTTTTTTTTTTTTTTAATAACCAGGAAAACAAGTCACAAATATCCAGAATCTTTCAATCTACACTCGAGTATTGCCACTGTAATGTCTCCTGCCACCAGCACACACTACAAATGACTCGTGAAAAGTCAATTTCTCACAGGTGCAACATTACAATCTGTACTTACTCTCCCCTACCTACTACGAAGTACACAGTCTTCCTCTGAAAGGATATATTCTGCTAACAAGTAATGTTCATTTATAATAACCAAATTACTGGGGCACCTGGGTGGCTCAGTCAGTTAAGCATCTGCCTTCAGCTCAGGTCATGATCCCGGGGTCCTGGGAGAGAGTCCCACGTCGAGCTCCTTGCTAAGCAGGGAGTCTGCTTCTCCCTCTGCCTCCCGCTCCCCCTGCTGTGCTTTCTCTCAGACAAATAAATAAAATCTTTAAAAAAAGAAAAAATATGTAATAACCAAATTATTCCTGTGAAGCAATTATTTTTCTTGCATTATGAAAGAAATAGTATGCTGGACTTTGAGGAACCAGAGCTCCTTTCCATAACATTTATTAAACGACTGGTATATGCTGAATAACTTACCAGACACCTGCTGTGTGAGCGAAGGTTTCTGAGTATGATCTATATGCCATCCAACTAATATATCAACTGTATCCTGGGTGGAGACAAAGAGAAAAGGGCTAATCATTTTAAGGTCTAACTGCTACTTCTCCTGTGGACCATTTCAGATTAAGAAATCCTAGAAAAAGCATCTGTGTTCTACCTATTTGACATTATACAAACTTAGAAAGGGAGAGGGCAGGGCAATAGAATAATGGAACTTTATGACCTCGAGGAAATGTTTTTTCTTTAAATATTTTGAGGTATTAATGTCAGAAAGTACAGATAGTATTTATAAAAACTTATTACTGCACCATTCTATCCTGGACCCTCAAGCATCACTGATTATACTCCAAGAAGCAGAAGCTTTGTTTTCTCTCTGATTCCCAAGGTCCTTGGACAAACAACCAATCCTTCTCCCCATCATATGAACAGAGGGAGTCAGGGAACTCACCCTAAAATTAGTGCTGAAAATATGAGGGTAACATCGAGCCACCAAAAGAATGCACTTAACACATTTGCAAAGTAATTCTGGTGTATCCACATTTTCAAGAATGGACTGTAGGCTGGTCATTACAAGCTAAAAAATAAAAGTTATAAACCATGAATATTCAACAAAACAGGAAGAAAACAAGCATGTTGGGCTCATTATTTAAAAGTGACTTTATCTTTGGCTCAGGTCATGACCCCAGGGTCCTGGGATTGAGCCTTGGAGTAGGGCTCCCTGCTCAGCACAGAGTCTGCTCCTTCCTCTGCCCTTCACCCCTCTCGTGCGAGCGTGTGCTCTCTCTCTCAAATAATAAAATCTTTTTTTAAAAAAAGTGATTTTATCTAAAATTGATTATGATACCAAAGAAAAGAAAGTCTGCAGTTTTAGTTCAAAAATAAGTTGAAAACATTTCATTCCACCATGAACAGGCTGAAAATAAATACTATTTCCTCTTCTTTAATGTCTCTTAATATTATTCCTAAGTCATGTCTGTTCACATTATTCCTAAATGCTCTCTTTAATACCATGGACTTGATTAAATTTCAAGAACAAAAATTAAGATGTGCTTGGAAAACTTTTCTTTAAAGTACCACAATTACTTTCCAATTCAAAATTTATAGCAAATTTTATAAAATTTATGCTTTAGGTTATTAGTACTTGCTTCAAATTTGAATGATTTAGAAAAGATTAGCATGGCCCCAACACATGAATAACAGACATGCAGGCTTATGTTACCACTATCTATAGATCTATTTTTTTTAAGATTTTATTTATTTGACAGAGAGAGACACAGCGAGAATGGGAACACAAGCAGGGGGAGTGGGAGAGGGAGAAGCAGGCTTCCCACTGAGCAGAGAGCCCGATGATGATGTGGGGCTCGATCCCAGGACCCTGGGATCATGACCTGAGCCGAAGGCAGACCCTTAATGACTGAGACACCCAGGCACCCCTATAGCTCTATTTTTTAAACAAATATATGGCATGCCACTGACAGAATATTTTGTAGCTGTTAGAAACCATTTTTTCCTAAAAAGTAAAGCTCTTCTTTACAAAAGAATGAGGTTGTAACTACAGAAAAAATGCTAGAACTGGAAAAGTACCTAACATGTTGCCAATGTTATAATCCACACAGGTACTGAATATGAATGGGTGCCAAAATCATTGAGTGAACTAGAACTAAAAAACAGGATATTCAGAAGGTCTCAAGGTATCATGCCCAGATTACTTATTACAAAAGGAGAAAAATAAGCCTCCACAACAGAAAAATTCTGGTGGGCATCACCTCAACCAAGTGATCAAACTCTTCATCCCTGACAGGAAGACAAACTGAAGTTATATGCCTGCTGGTGTGATGCAACAGTAAGAATGAACCCAGGAAGTATTCATGACCAAAAGGTTTAAAATCAGGAAATAGCAATCAGACAAACCCAGGAAGTAGAACACTCCACAAAGATGAAGGACAAAAAAGGTGTGAACTGTTCTAATTAATAGCGATTAAAGAGGCACAGCACTAAACTATACACAAGTCTTGGCGGAATCCTGGGTCAGGTAAGACAAAAGCTGTAAAAGATATCTTAAGGGCAGAAGTTTGAATATGGACTGCCTTATGTAATAAAATTAATTTTCTTAGGTATAATAATTTTGTTGTTAATATAAGAAAACAGCCTTATTTTTAGGGGATGTATGTTGAGGCATTATAGGGTAAACTGTCATGACGTGTGTAATTTCAAATAGTTCAACAAAAAAGTTGAACTATGTGTGTAGAAATAAAACAAGTGTAGCAAAATGTTAATAAGTGACAAATCTAGATAAAGGACATATGGGTATTTATTATACTGGTCCACTTGTTTTCCTGTGGATTTGAAAATTTTCAAAATAAATATTTGAAGAAATGTTCAAAATATTAAAACTATATGCAGAATAAGCCTAATTTGGTGTTATGATACTTAGTTACGGATAATTTTCTGAATCTTTCCCAAAATTTTTCACATAACCTCTGTAATCAAAGAAAAATGGATTTTTAAAAAACAGACTACATCATTTAAAGTGACTTAAGCAAAATAAAGCATATCATCAATTGTAAAGAACACATATAAATAAAAGATATCTGGGGCACCTGGGTGGCTCAGTACGTTAGACTTGGAGTCCTGGGATCAAGTCCCACATCAGGCTCCCTGCTCAGCGGGGAGTCTGCTTCTATGTCTGCTTCTACCTCTGCCCCTCACCCCACTCTCTGCTCTCTCACACCTACTTAACAAAAATTTAACTGCTTGTAACTTTGCTCAAACTTAAATTGAGAATGATCTTTTAATATACTTACACAAAAGTGAAATAAAGCTAAGTAAGGCTGGTTTTCATTTACACAAAATTATTTTGTATCATTTGGAATAAGAATTTTGGACGTATTATTAAACCTAAAAAGGCCTAGAATGAGTTGTGTCATTCAGTTTTTGTCTCCCTCAGAAAAGTCAAGTCCCCTCCTATCCAGCTTTCCTCACTGAGTCCCTATTTTCAAATGTGCAAATGATTCTAGTACTAAGCAAAATTCAAAGGAAAGCTTCAAAAAAAGCGAAAAGACAAAAGAAAAATCTAACTTATTTTAAATCTACCTTTTAATTTGTATCCTTTAACTAAAACTCAGAAATGTTATTTATATCATATTTACTATCAGTAGATAACCCCTATACTAAGTTTCCTTTCTCCAAGTTCCTCTCCAAAAACATTACTAGAAAATTGTTAAGGATAATTTTCTTCCCAAATGTATCAATTTCCCCCCTCACTCTTACCTGCATTACAGATGAAAAGGCTTTCTTTTCTCCTACAGTCTCTAATGCTTTGTAGGTGGCACATAAGTAGAGGAGTTTAACTTCATCTTTTGCAGATGAGCTAAATTTGCTAAAAATCCATTTGAAGATCTTCTCAGCCTCATAGCTCAGAGAAGCACAAAGAAGGCCAAGACAGCAAGCTCCCTCCTGTCTCAACTCCTGAAGCAATTTGCTACTGTGTTTATTTCAATGCAAACAAAATAAAACACACGAAAGGTTTAAGTTTTCAAAGATGACAAGAATGACACATTTTACAAAAGAATGTCTTCAATGATTTTTTTTTAATTTTCTATTCGAACTACATAAAAGATTGAAATTTTATCTTTAAATATGCTCTTTACTCTCTCTATCCCACAGTGCCCAAAAGTACCTTTGTTAGACACATTAGCTTTTCTTTTACAGAATCAATTATTCACAAACAGTAAGGGAAGGCCCAGAAATACTAAAAATCAGGCTTCAAATTCCATCTCAAGCTACATTAAATAATCCACAGAAAAGGGCAGCAACAAGGATCAGATAAAACACACTACAAATAACTACATATGATGTAGTGTTCAGTAGGTAAGGACTATAAAACAGGAAATGGTACTAGTTAAAGCACAACAAACTTAACAGGATAAAAGCACTGATTTAAGTATATTAATAACTAACTATATAAAATGAAACCATCAAAAAGCAGTAAGGTTCGTGACCTGCTGAGATGAGTTTTTGGTGCTTTCCAACACTGCAATTCTTTGGGAATCCCCATACGAAGAACAGACTGCACACCTTTGTGGAGAACCCCAGTAGCCTCGTAGAGCAGGTGGTCTGAATCCACTGTTGCCCAAAGAAGGAAGCTCCCTTTCACCTCTATTCTCTAAGCAGTTTCAAAATTCTCTAGTTTACAAAAGTTAATCGCATTCATTCATGCCTGCATTAAGAGTTTATGGCATTCCACAAGTCAATGCTCAATTACTCAGTCATGTTGACAAATTAGAAAAAAAAGAAAGAAAGAAAAATAAAAAAAAAGGCATTTCCTTTCAAGTGGATTCCATTTGTAGTCAATGGTAATTAACATATAAATACTTTAACATAGATAAAGATGGCAGGAGAACCCAGTAAAACATTAAGTAGATATTCATAAATGAAGCCACCAATGGGTTTATCTTCTTGCATATTTTTTAATAATTTCTAAAAATATATTTAAAGTCTTAAAATTACCCATTGGTTACTTACCTTTCATTAAGCACATCATGTACAGCAGCCAAGATATTATCCAATTGTTTAACTAGTACCTTAAAAAAAAAAACCACATGTATAAAAACTTCAAATTCCTATACTTTCAATAACATTGTGTACTTTTTACTTGCGTTCCCCTTCTAATTCTAATCAAACAGCACACCTTCCTTTTCTTATTATTCTCAGTCCGCAGTTAGTATGTACCAGGAGTATTACAAGTTTCCTTTCAGATTCTGAAAGAAATTTATCCATTCCTATGTACTGCCATGATCATCAATGAAAAACATAAACTCAGGCGCCTGGGTGGCTCAGTCGTTAAGCGTCTGCCTTCGGCTCAGGTCATGATCCCAGGGTCCGGGGATCGAGCCCCGCATCGGGCTCCCTGCTCTGCG